TGCAATTTTAAGAATGACCTCCATTGAACGGTTGACAAATAATGAGCATCATCGAACTGATCCAAAGATCAAAACATCCGCTTGCGCTGCAAATGATCTAATAAAGAAAACAAGTAGAGCTTTGCTCAAGAGATAAATCTGAAGCTGCTTACGTGGGGCCTATTCAAAACAATGTACAATGAATGATGGATTGAGTTCTACGCTTGATTGTCACATTGTTCTGGATGACACTGATCCTTCGTGTGAGAAGAAACTGTTTCATTCTTCACTGTACAATATAGCGTTACAGTCGTAGAATAATAAACCCTTCTCCCGAAAATGTAGAACAAAAATCCCTTCCGATGAAATCGAATAGTAATAAATCCATCCGAATCTATCGTCTGACAAAATACTCTAGTTGAAAGATTACTAAACCTAAATGAAGGACATGGTAGATTATCTATGGTCAGACGTAGAATACTAAACGTATCTCACATTGAAGTAGAATAAAAAACCTTCATTCCAGAAATGACGAAAGATGGGTATTTGAGAGTTGATCTTATTCCCTTTTTTCTCATCTACCCTCACTGTCATATACGGATTATATAAGAAACTGTTTGTGGGTTTATGACTACATGATAAACGCTTCGAGGGTTGATAAAAGCGTTTAGGAAACAATATCGTAAATTACTCAACTTTTTTTTTCTTCAGTGTACATATCCGTGCTGTCTGGACATGCTCCGTTCTCTTAACGCAAGTACATAATTATCACTCTGACTCACTCAGTCCTCTCTTTTATTTTCAGTTACACAGCTGACAAAAAATGATGAGAAAAACACATTGAGATCATTTTAGAAATCAATTATTTCCATTTTAATGATAAGTATATGTACAAACATACTTGCAGGCAAAATCGAAACTCTTCATCGCAAGTGGAAGAGAAAGAGAGAAACAGCGAATTATTTTTCTGCGAAAGTATCAAATTAATTGGCGTTTTTGAGTGCACTTCAAAAGAATTGTAAAGCGTTATTTTTTCCTCAAAGAGAATCGATGTATATATAAGAAATATAGTGTTAGTGAAAAATCATAACGAAAGTCATTTTAACCAATTTATCTCTTCGTATTTCTTGTAGAACTAATAGCGGCACAATGCATAAGGTTAAATTCGTATTTTATTTGATCTTCATTTTGGCATTGACGACAATGCATTGCAATGCAAGAGCATCGGCAGAGAAGATGGAATCCACAGCCAAAGGTGCTTGTGTTCCTCTTGGCGGTGTATGTGAAAGTTCAAATGATTGTTGTGGTCGGGATGATCCTCATTCAGGACATTGTGTCGGTTGCTGGCGACATGGTGGGATATTTATTAAATGGGGAAATTTCCGTTGTGGTTGTGACGTTACTGGTCGCGTTACTCTTGATAAGAATCATATTGTTAGCAGTGATATGTGTAATGGGCGCGATGCTGCTAGTACCCGTTGTGTTACTCGTGTTGCTCGTCCTGGTGAACTTAATTCCCGTGGAAAAAAGGCATTTTGGTATGTTGATTATTATTGTGTTTTGATAACAATTCATCAGAAGAATACTATCATATTTGATTCAGTTATCGGTGTATTCTCCTATGAATTTATCATTTCGAATATCGTATAATTTTATATTAATTCAGTGTTTTTTTGTCTTTTTAGAACATCTATGGAATATCACCATCATTTATCATCAACAAACATTACTGAGTGGTCATCTCCCTCTTTCCTTATATTTTCCCCCAATTTCTAATTCTAATAAAATATAAATACTAAAACCATGTGCTGCTTAT